CATAGGAAGAACCCAGTTTTCGCAGCCCCCAAGAAGGTAGATAACATGGCAGGAACTCCCAAATACCTCTCAGTCCTATCTCTTAATGTTAACGGACTGAACTCTCCAATTAAGCGACATAGGCTGTCTAGTTGGATTCAAAAACAAGACCCTTCTATCTGCTGCCTGCAGGAGTCACATCTTGCCCGTAAAAACAAACACATTTTCAATGTTAAAGGCTGGAACAAAATCTACCAAGCAAACGGACCGCATAAACAGGCGGGAGTTGCAATCCTAATATCAGATAAAATAGACTTCAAATTAAAATTCGTGAAAAGAGATAAAGAAGGTCGCTACATACTAATTAAAGGATCTCTCCTTCAGGAGGATATTACAATTCTAAATATCTATTCGCCAAACAATGGAGCACCCAAATTTATCAAAGAAACACTACTTTCCCTCAAATCCCATATAGATCCAAAGACATTAATTGTTGGGGATTTTAACACACCACTCTCCCCACTAGATAGATCAACTCGGCAAAAACTCAACAGAGAAACCGCAGATCTAAACAGCTGCAATGATCAACTAGACTTAAAAGACATCTACCGAACATTTCACCCAGCAGCATCAGAATACACGTTTTTCTCAGCAGCACATGGAACGTTTTCTAAAATAGACCACATTTTAGGCCACAAAGCAAACTTGTCTAAATTCAGAAACATTGAAGTTATACCTTGCATTCTCTCTGACCACAAGGGAATAAAATTAGAACTCAACACCAAAAGCCACCAAAGAAAGTCCGGTATCACATGGAGGCTGAACAACACACTGCTGAATCATGAGTGGGTCATGGAAGAGATTAGAAAGGAAATTCAAATGTTCATGCTATTCAACAAAAATGAAAACACAAAATACCAGCTCCTCTGGGACACAGCAAAGGCAGTACTCAGAGGCAAGTTTATAGCTCTGAGCTCCTACATCAACAAATTGGAGAGATCTGAAACTAACAATTTAATGACACATCTAAACCTCCTTGAAAAAGAGCAGCAAGATAAACCCCAATCCAGTAGACGGAAAGAAATAATCAAAATTAAATCAGAATTAAATGAATTAGAATCCAAAAAAACTCTAGAAAGAATCAACAAAACAAAGAGTTGGTTCTTCGAAAAACTTAACAAAATTGACAGACCCTTAGCAAATCTTATCAGAAAAAGAAGAGAACACACCCAAATTAATAAACTCAGAGATGAGAATGGAAACATCACCACGGAAACAAGCAAGATTCAGAACATTATAAGGGAATACTTCTCAAAACTTTATGCTAATAAGTTTGAGAACTTGACAGAAATGGACCTCTTCCTAGCAAATATTGACATGCCAAAACTAAACCAAGATGAGTTAAACTATCTTAACAGGCCCATATCAAGCATTGAAATAGAAACAGCAATAAGAGACCTCCCAGCTAAGAAAAGTCCAGGACCAGATGGTTTTACAGCGGAATTTTACAAGGCCTTCAAAGCAGAGCTCACACCAATTCTCCTCCAACTCTTCAATGAAATTGAAAGAGAAAGCTCACTACTGAACACATTCTATGAAGCCATCATAACCCTCATCCCAAAACCAGGCAGGGACTCATCAAAGAAAGAGAACTATAGACCCATTTCTTTGATGAACATTGATGCAAAACTTCTCAACAAAATTTTGGCCAACCGACTTCAACAATTCATCCAAAAAATCATACACCACGATCAAACAGGATTCATTTCAGGGATGCAAAGCTGGTTCAATATACGCAAATCAATTAATATTATTCATCACATCAACAGGAGCAAGAATAAGAACCACATGGTTATCTCAATAGACGCAGAAAAAGCATTCGACAAGATCCAACACCCCTTTATGATGAAGGTTTTGGAAAAATTAGGAATCCATGGAACATTCCTCAATACAATAAAGGCTGTATATGACAAACCTACAGCCAGCATTATACTCAATGGTGAAAAACTAAAGCCATTTCCTCTTAACTCAGGAACAAGACAAGGATGCCCACTCTCTCCACTTCTCTTCAATCTAGTATTAGAATGCCTAGCTACAGCAATAAGACAAGATGCAGACATAAAGGGGATCCAAATAGGGAAAGAAGAAATAAAACTCTCCCTCTTTGCAGATGACATGATCTTGTATTTAAAGAATCCCATAGACTCCACTCCCAAATTACTCAAGCTAATTCAAAACTTTGGCAAAGTAGCAGGTTATAAAATTAACCCCCAAAAATCAATGGCTTTTCTGTATGCCAACAATGAGAAAAGTGTGGCTGAAATTAGGAAAGCAACTCCATTTGTAATAGCCCCACAAAAAATAAAATACCTAGGAATTAACTTAACTAAAGAAGTGAAGGACCTCTATGATGAAAACTTTAAAATCTTGAAAAAGGAAATCAACACAGAACTTAAAAAATGGCAAAACCTCCCATGCTCCTGGATTGGAAAGATTAACATCGTGAAAATGGCAATACTTCCCAAGGCTATCTACAAATTCAACGCAATACCTATCAAAATTCCACCCTCATTCTTCAAGGAAATAGAAGAGGCAATCCAAAAATTCATATGGAACAATAAATGAACCCAAATAGCAAAAACGCTCCTCAACGGAAAGAACACTGCTGGAGGAATATCAATACCAAATTTCAAACTCTACTATAAAGCCATAGTAAACAAAACAGCTTGGTATTGGCATAAGAACAGACCTCAGGACCAATGGAATAGAATTGAAAACCCAGAAATGAACCTAAAGACCTATAGCCATCTAATCTTCGATAAGGGAGCTAAAACAATAGAATGGAAGACAGACAGCCTCTTCAGTAAATGGTGCTGCAAAACTGGTTAACTACATGTAGAAAACTAAAGCTAGATCCTTATATATCACCCTGCACCAGAATCAACTCCAAATGGATCAAAGACCTTGAACTCAAAGCAGACACGCTGAAAACATTACAGGATGGAATAGGAGAAACCCTGGGTCTCCTTGGCTCAGGCCGAAATTTTCTGAATAGAGACCCGGAAACACAACAAATCAAAGAAAGGTTGGACAAATGGGATTGTATAAGGTTGCAGAGCTTCTGCAGGGCAAATGACATAGCTAGCAAGATCAATAGAAAGCCCACGGACTGGGAGAAGATCTTTACTAGCCATACAACGGACAAGGGTCTCATATCTAAAATATACTTGGAACTCAAAAAATTAAACCACTCAACAACAAATCCTCAAAGAAACAACTGCCCAATAAGTAAGTGGGCGAAAGACTTAAAGAGAAGCTTCTCTGAAGAAGAAAGAAGGATGGCCAATAGACACATGAAGAAATGTTCAACATCCCTAGCCATAAAAGAAATGCAAATCAAAACAACATTGAGATATCACCTCACTCCAGTTAGAACGGCAAAAATCAAGAACTCTAACAACAACAGATGCTGGAGGGGATGTGGACAGAAAGGAACCTTACTTCATTGTTGGTGGGAATGTAAACTTGTTCAACCACTTTGGAAAGCAGTATGGAGGTTCCTCAAAAGACTCCACATAGAGCTCCCCTATGACCCAGCAATCCCACTTTTGGGCATTTACCCTAATGTTTACAAAAAAGACCACACTAAAGCTACCAGCACAACTATGTTTATTGCAGCATTATTTACCATAGCTAAGATATGGAACCAACCCAAATGCCCCTCAATAGATGAATGGATCAAGAAAATGTGGTATATATACACAATGGAATTCTATGCCTCCATCAGAAAGAATGACATTGCCCCATTTGTTAGGAAATGGAAAGGCTTGGAAAAAATTATATTAAGTGAAGTAAGCCAGGCCCAAAGAAACATAGGTCCCATGGTTTCCCTTATTTGCAATATCTAGTATAGGTATGAGTCAAGCGGAAAAAGTCAGAGAATGTGATGTTAGGAAAACGAACCCTCAAATATGTATTTTAATGTTTTTGTTTCTTTCATGCATGTGTTTCTAACGCATTTATAAGATTATTTCTTTGTTGCTTTGTATGTCCCTCCCCCACAGTGTAACCCCTGCTTTCACTATATTTGATATCAGTATAACATGTGGAGGAGATGGGGACAAACAAGTCGTTTAAGGATTCAGGTGGACCTGTTGCAACAATGAGAAGTACAAAATGTCATGTCAAAACCAGCTTTACAATGTCGGTGGGGGGGAGGGGGGTATGATTGGGTGGGGGGGAGGGGGGAGGCTGGGAAGGGAGGTGAAGGGTAAACAAAGGAGGAGGCTGCAATGCTTGGTAAGAAATGTATGCATTATCCTGCCCATGTAATTGTAACCCCTCTGTACAGTATGTTCTCAAATAAAATAAAATAAAATTAAAAAAAAAAAAGAATTTGAGTTGATAAAAATAGGTCTGTGTAAAGTCATTCATTCAGTATGTCAAATATATATCTATCAAAATTATTTTGCTTAATTTTATTTAGCTAACATTTTTTCTATACTGGACTACAATAACATTAATAGAAAGGATGTTTTATTTATAATGTAAAAGAAAATTTAAAAAATCTCACAGAGAATAAATGGAATTATGAAAGTTTAGCCTCATATTTCATTTAAAAAAATAAATGGTGAGATTTGAGCATGAATCATTTGGAATCTTTATGTTTCCTGTCAAAGAATCAGAAGACATGCTTCACAAAAAAGACAACAACAAAATAACCAACTTTAATTTTAAGAGACCTCAGCAAAATTATTCACGAGCAATGACATATTAGTTGACCAGTGGTAATCACATAATACAGTGTATTGTATAGAAAGTTGGGGATGTCTAATTTGGGATAGAGAGAGACCAAAGTAAAACCTGTTGTTGCTAACAAATATGAGTTACACATACATCTCTTGGTGGGTTTCTTTTTTCTTTTCCTTTTCCTTTTTTTTAAGCTTTCACATTAACTTTCTTGTCTGAGCCACCCTTCATGACTTAACAAATCCCTCATCACTGCCAACTATACTAGGAATCATATTCCTTCTTAAATGTACCAAAAACTCATACTCAGCTATGAGTTCTGGGTTGCAAAAGAGGATTTACTGTGTACATCTGTCTTCAAGGCTTTGTTACAAATCAAGCAAAAACACACATACACACAAGTGCTACTTTTTTTCTTAAAAGACAATTCCTTATAGCAAAGGAGTCCAATGTTAGATCACTGACTCTGCCAGCTCCTGTTACTAATAGTATAGAAGCAGTTATTATATCACTAGTGGACGTTTGTTTTCTTTCCTTTGGGCATTAAAGTGATGATCTGTGATATTGTAGGCCTGAAAACATTGCAAATCAAAGTCAGCTAATTCATAATATCAAGAAATGCCGTTGTGGGAACATGTTTAGTAACATTGAAAACTCACAGGTAGTTTGATTATATGCAGTTTTTTTTAAATAAGTGCTTCAAATATTACTGAACCTTGATAAGAATGACAGAAAGAGCCAGCCAGTGCTGTAGTTCATTTGAAATATAAAGGACATCATGTCAGATAGTTATTCATGTGGTGATGACTAACTATGCCATGGAGAAGAAAGTCTACTGGTGATGAAAAATGGCTCAGAAGCCCTTTCTTCACTAAGTAAATGGAGCAGAAACCAGGGAAGTCCCAATTGACACTGATGGAAATGGTTACAAGGTGCCAGGGACGAAATAACTAAAGCAAATTTATCTGGAGAGAACAAGGAGGAAAGTATGCCAGGGTGAGAAAACTTTGCAAAAGCTAGCAAGAAGCACTGAATTTAAATAGAAAGCTCTGTCCAGTATTCCAGTTAGATGGTATATTCATATGCATGAGGAAGATTGGATGGTTGATGATGGTATTGTCACTCAGGTGGTGACAGCATGGAGAAGAACAATGTGAAGGTGAAAATCCTTTTAGCAGGACCCTGGCAGAGAAACCAATCATAAACATACTGGAAGAGGTTTGGGCCACTGAGGATGCATCATTAACCACCAGGAGGACTAATGTGGGAGACAGTCCATTGGAGGCTGGTGATGAGGAAAAGGAAGACAAATGAGGGCAGGTCCCTTTGCACAAAGAGCTTTTAATTATGCTGAGGAAAGCACTTCACTCATAATGTATCTAAGAGCCACTTTCTCACAGTCAACACACACACACAAATTGAATTGAGGCAGAGGATTCTGTGCTTAGATCTGGAAGAGTATATTTAGAAGTAGGAGTATGTAGACGGCCTGGATTGAATCAAGCTACAACAGCCCTAGCTGGGCCACGGCAGCCAGACTGCTTCACCATTCTCACTGCTGGATTCCTCAATGAAAATATCAGGGGAGACAATAGTAGTGCCCACAAGGAGTTGTTATGACATTTCATTGAGAGGGATGGAGTGCATGGCATCTAGGAAATGCTCAATAAATATTACTGTGAAGAAGAGGCTGTTTTATGCTTTATTTTTATATTTTTCACAATACTGGGGTTTGAACTCAGACCTTTCACTTTCTAAGCAAGCATTTTATTTCTTGATCCATGCCACCAGCCCTATTTTGTGTGTTGATTATTTTTTTTTAGATAGATCTTGCTTAATGTCCAAGTCAGCATGGATTATGATCTTCCCAATTGTGCTGCCCTGTGGCCTGTGTTGCTGGGATGGTAGGCACACATCATTTTGCCCAGCCATTGGTTAAAATGAGTTGGATGGAGGTCTCTTTCCTTCCTTCCTCCTTCTCTTCTTCTCTCCCTCCCTCTGTCCCTCCTTTGTTTCTTTGTGTGGTCTGTCTGATCCTGAACTGTGATCCCTTGATCCCCTGACCTCTGTCTCAAAGGAGCTAGAATTAGAGGCTTTAGATGCTATATTTGGCTTCACATTTAATTTTTTGCAGCCTGTTTGAAGTATAATTAACAAGTATTTACATGGCATGTATAAGAACACTTAAGATCTTTTAGCCAATGTTAAGTATATAATACAGTATTATTAACTATAGTTACCATGTTGTACATCAGGTCTCCAGAATTTACTCATCTTCAATTGGAAAGTCTGTACCCTTTCAACATAATTTTTCATTTTCCTACCAATTCCTCTTTTCCTCTTCATTTCCATAGATTTGACTCTGAACAAAGATACCACAAGTAAGTAAGATCATGTAGCAATTTTCTTTCTATGGCATGTTTCACTTAGCATAATGTCCTCTAAGTTTATCTATGTTGTTCACAAATGGCAAGCTTTTTTTCCCTCTAGTGTAAAGAATATCACACATCTCTCTCACATGCACCCACACACACATACACTCATTCAAATACACTCATACCATATTCCTTGTTCTTTAATCTAGTGATGAACATCTTGGTGGTTTCCATATCTTGATTATTATGAATAATGCTGTAACGATGAGTACAAGAGTACAGTACACATATCACTATGATGTCTGATTTTATTTCTTTCAGATTTATAGACAGTTCTGAGATCACTGAATCATATGGTAGTTCTATACATGTTGACTATCATTAAAACAATAAAAAACCACAAGAAAATCCAGCCATATCAATGGGTAAAGAAAATGTCATACCTGTGTACACATAGGTATGCATATGTAGGTACACACATGTACACACACACATATTAGAATACTATTTAGCCTTAAGAAAAAAGAAAATATTGCTATTCATGACAAGGAGGAAAGAGTGCATAAAATTTTCAGTTATACGATTCTGGAGAATGCTCAATTGGTGGCTTTAGTTAATGATGCATTTCATATGTGAAAATTTCCACAAGTGGTATTATCATTTCTTTCCTTTCTATACCAGGCACGCTGCATGTTTCAGTTAAATCTCATAAGAACTGTCTAAGATCTTCCACATTTTGGTTGAGAAATAACTGTAGTTGCCTTATACTGCTAGTGATGTCATATTTGGATTCAATCTAGATCACCTGCATCCAAACTCCCACTTCTAAATATGTACTTCAGGATTTAAGCAAACAATTTTTCTGCTTCAATTCAATTTTCATGTGAATGTGAAAGAGCGGCCTTTGATTTATTATGTGTGGGGTTTCTTCTCAGCTTAATTAAAAGCTTCTTGTACAAAGGGACCCTGTTCTACTTTGTATGAGCAGAGAATTTTTTAACGGCTATATTGTAAGCTTTTCTTAAATTTTTGTTCTTAAAAAGGTCTCTCTAAGCTATTTGTTTTTTACTACATATTAATCAAAGTGGCATTTTATAGTCTAAGTAATAAGGAAGTGTTCTCTACTGTGGATTTTGGAGCAAGTGGAAGATAGCATGTTGACTGTTTCTTAGTATGCTTTTCATGTTGTCATTGGCTTTAGAGTGCAATTTATGACCTTGAGTAGCACCTCTCATATTAGATTCTGAATGAAAATTTTTTCAGAGAAATTTAGAATTTGTTAAGTATTCTATACATAAGTAACCCAGAGAAGCTATTCACAAAGGACTTCCAAATTCTTTTTAAAGAATTATTTCCCTCTCCTTACCACTTCAACTCTTCCATATCTGTGTTGAAATGTGTTTAGGGATCTAATGTTCCCCAAACCAGCATCAAAGTCAGAATCCCATTTTGCAAGGGATATAAATCTCTGCATCTGAAATAGCTCTTGAAAATGTTTGGAGTTTTAATTTCATACTTGCCTAATTTTAATGTGGGTCAAGAAAGTGAATGACAAATGCAACTGGTCTTTGGAATAATAAGACTATTGGTAGGTAGAATAGCTAAAAGGTAACCTTATCAGCATATTTTGAATGCATAGAAATGGAAAGAGAAGTAAGTATTTAAAGTAATACTGCATTAGTTTGAGGATAAGCGCTATGGTGTTCATTGAGACTTGTGAATGTTACTGATGACATGTTTTTGGCCTTGCTTTCATTTTCCTGTCTTTGCTTTTCTTTATCACAATTATCTGCTCTGACTTTCCCTTCCAGATCTCTTCTTCTTCAAGGTTCTTTGTACTTTTGTCTTATCAGTAGAATTGCTGGTCAGACTTGTTCTCTGTGCTTCATCCTTTCTGTACTTAAATTACACTCTCCTTCTATCCCATCAAAATCTCCTGAAGACATTGAATCAAATTTACAGTGTACTTTCCTTGCACTTGCACTTGATTAGTAAGGCATGATAGGTGATGGCAACAAGCACACTGTACAACAGATCAAGGCTATTGAAGTCACTGCTTTCTTGTTTGCTGTTAATCCTTAATAAAGTTGATTGACTTACGGAGTTTGCTTGATAGGAAAAGTGTTTTCCAAGTAAATTAATTGCTCAATTATTTCACTGTAATTTGCCTATACAACTCTTACTGAGGATTGCAAGGTGATCTTGCCTTTTAGTAACAGACAGTTGGTCACAAATTATTTATGTTTTTGCCTACAATACATTACCAACAGTCTTTAGAATATATTTGCTTTCCAGTTGTGATAAACCTGCTTAATAAGTACCACACGGTTCTTGTAAGGGAAAAATACAGGTAGATTTCTGATTTCATGCAGCTCACAGCTGCACATTGTTGCTTTTCCTCATACTGGTGGAGAGGTGTTACTCCTTCTTGGCACTCTCCACAGTGAGACTACTTTGTAGGCACTGCGGCTGGCTATGAAGTTCAGCCCTGAGTCTACTACTATATATCTGTGATGTTTGAAAGGCCTGCCGTGTTACTTTATACTCTCTAGTCCCTTCTCCAGATCAATATTTTGGGCCATGGCTTGGAACTATTGATAGAGTCAACTAAAGAAGAACTGTGCTGACGATTATTATTGTGACTATGCCTACACCAGGTTTCTGTGAATTCCTGACTCCTAAAAATGAGGACTACGTGTACTAAAGTGATTCTTTAATCCTATGTTGGGGCCCCAAAGTACTCTATTAACAAATATGTAACTCTAAACTATTTTTAAAAAGAAAAAATAAACTCTAGTAAGTCAACCAAGTTTTCAAACAATTTGGAGGTAGGCTGAAAATGTTTGAAATATTTTTGGCTTCTCGGCAGTTTTTCAGCACTGTAACGGCAGTTGTACAGGAAGGTCTATGTGTCTCCTTTATTATTTTTCTTGAAGACAATTCATCTCTTTAATGCAGCTGATTAGTCTAATTATTCTAGGTAGCTTTCTGTTGCCCACTGTTTGTATGTAATTTGTAAGGTAGA